GCTTTGCTCGAGAACATGGAATTTTCAATTGTTATTTTGTCCTATTAGGGAGAAATACAATAGTTTTCCCTAAGCCTTCAATTTTCGATGCACCACTGATAGTAACAATATTGGTCTTTCCTATATTCAGATGTGAGAAATAAGTTTTGTTTTTCAAAATGTTGTGAATTGTAGCATTGTCGGTGAGACATATATTGTCATCAACTCTAAAATATTTGGCATCAATATCTTTTGCAATAAGGTAAATTGATATATAAAATAGGTTATTTGTTTTTTTTATTATTATTTTTTGTTTGTTTTTTTTTTTTTTTAATCTCATGAACCATAATATAGGTGTCCCGGGGGAGGGATGGAGAGGGTGGGAGGGGGAAGATTAAGTTATTCGCATATGTAATGACATCTTTACAACAAACTATAAAGTTTTTGAAAAATGTCTGCCATGTTCTGGAGAGGCACGTCAACTTGTTGGCTATAACTGCCATTGTTGTTTGATTCTTGAAAAGAGTAAACTCTATCATATTTCATTATTATAAAATATGTTTAATTATTGATTTGATATACCATAATATATATTACCTCCGTCCGGCTTTAAAGGTCTTATTTATTTTTTGCATGTTAATATTTGAATATTAATTATTATATCAAAACGTAGTACAAATTAAGAAAAAATTACAAAAAAAAAACTTTCATTAGTGTCTTATAATACTAATAAAAACACATTTGTACAAAAAAAAAATAAAAATAGATTTCCCAATGGGTCACCCATTCTCAAATTACTCTAAAGCAAACACGCTTAACTCTATAGTTTTTTCAGTAGAACTTTCGAAAATGAATGTCATATTCTCAAAATAAAGAATCTATTCAATTTATTTAAGTTATATTCACTCTCAGATGGTCTAGCACCGGCTCATCCATACTCGGGAGTTGGCCTAGCACCGGCCCAACTCCGGAGGTATTACATCAACCCCCACTTATGAATGCAACGTTCACGTTGCACCCCAAGGATCATCAACTACTAGACCCGTCCCTAGTCTAGTCAACGACTATAGGCTGTCGCAAGTCGGCTCTGATACCAACTGTGACACTCCAGCCCGGAAGCCATGCGAAGCCGGGCATGTCGGGATTGTAGATTAGCCCCACAGGTCAACATGAGTCCAATGGATCACCATCCTCAAATTACTCTAAAACAAACACGCTTAACTCTAAAGTTCTTTCAATAGGGCTCCCAAAAAACAATGTGCACATTCCTTTTCGGAAGCCCTACCGAAAGAACTCTAAAGTTAAGCGTGCTTGCCCTAGAGTAATTTGAGGATGAGTGACTCACTTGAAAGTTTCCCAGAGTGTGCATGAGTGAGGATATAAGCGCGTTGGAAGGACTTGTGTTGGCCTGGGGGGCCAGCCTGTAATGCTGACATGCTCGGCTTCACATGGCTTATAACCCGGGGGGGGTGTCACAATGAAACAAAAGATAAATGCAACCCTTAGAGGTGGACGAGAAAGTATATTTACCAAAATGTAGTGAAATGTTAAAGATGTAAAAGAACATCTATTTTCTACGAGAAATCAACAAATTTGTCCTTCCACTTCATTGCATCAACGGAATTAGTATACCACTCAAAACAATTTCTTGCAAAACAAATCAAAAACCAAAAAATCAAACCTTAACCACATCCACGTAACCTAAATCCATCCGGCCCTCAAATCTTACCTGTGGCGCCATGTATACTTCCATGAAAGCCAAAGTTTGCATAAATCCTTGACAACAAAAATTAAACGAAAATTGTAAACATTGAAACAATTATTTCATTATAAGGATACTCAGAAATGATTCCTCCTGAACTTGAATACACGTCATTAACGGATTTGACTACAAAGAAACCTTCACCGACGAGTCCGTGCGAGAAGAAAAAAATAGGAATTGGCGACAACAGTTGCAATTGGAAGCGGCAAAGGAATGGATAGAAAAGTCGGATGCAACGAGAACGAGAAGATTGAGTTTAACTGTGAAAGAAGTTTTTTTTTTAAGAGAATGAATAGAAACAAAAATATGATAAAAGTAAACGGCATATTTGATAATTTGGGTAGCCTCTGTACGGAGTCTTTTATTTATAAGTATTAGATATACAAATTAGTAGAGTACTGTACATACTAGACATACTAGGATATAATGTATCAACATATACTATGTTTTCTTATGTAGTCATCTACGTAGACCATACGTCTATTCTGGCAGTATTTGATTAATTTGTGTAAATTTTAGAGTAATTAATATAGCAGTCCCCGTTCATCCCAGCAGATCATTTCCCTGAAACCCTAATATCGCAAAAGGCGGCACAACTGCTCGTTCCCCTTTTGTCGATACTTGATAACCACCAGCCATGGCGCTCACTATGACAATGGAGGACACACGGGACTTTGCTTCGCGTTTGGATGTTGACGTAGCATCTATTGATCTCGATTCAATTTGTTTCCCTCTAGGCGAAGATTTTGGCATAATTAGGTAACCATCTACGATTAGATTTCCAGCATGTTTGATGTTAGTACTATTGCTTGTTCGCCGAAAGTTATGTCCACGCGAATCCGGCAGTTCATCCCATTGGTGGTATTGGTAGCGAGTTTGATAATATGAAAAACTACCACAGTAAAATTGCGGCCATAATACTGAATGGTCCGTCATCGGAACCATAGATTTTGATTAGCAGCGCAAGGTAAGTTAACGTCTGTAATGAATTTGGGATTGATTTGGGTTACGTTATTTGTGTTTGGTTTGGGTAATATGTTAATTTCACATTGAATTTTTGGTTGAATCGGTTCGATTGGTCTCCAATTGATATGATTGTATTAAGATTGATTAAGGGATTGAATTGTGGGTTGAATTTGGTGAAAGTTAATCTTTGGAGTAATTTAATCAATTGTGTTGTGAATGGTTGCATGATTAATTTTTCACATAGTTAGAATTGCAATAATGCACATAATGTACCTCCACATGAGATTGATGTACCCGTCTAACTAGATCAAAATACCTTCAAAATACATATATGCTCATATACATGTTACACATTAGTTATGAATGTTATCATTGTACAAAGACAACAATGAACCAAAAACATTATGCATACTTCTCTTAAATTAGAATTAAATAATTCATTACAAGACCTTGCAGTTGTTGAAGTAATGTTTGGAATGAACAAAAGTGCATTTATGGATACTTGAGTACATTAGTGGTGCACCTAAAAAAGAAAAATATATACATGTACTGCAAAGGTTTATGCTCTCTCAATCGTTGTTATTTCTCTCAACCACCAATGAAGTAAATAAATACTAATATAAGAAGTATTTTCACCGAGTTCATTAATTGTCTCATCTGTCATGTGATTAAGTGAAGTCGACCACATTCAAAGATACCCGCTACTATATAAATAATACCTAAATAGCCAACAATAATACCTTGATTGTCAATGCTCGTACCCAGAACATATTGTTACATACTGCATTAAATATCAAAATACCCCGGGATAGTTTATGTACCTATAATACGAGACGGGGAAGCCAGCGACAAAGAAGAAGAAGAGTATGAGGCTAAAGAAGTGGAAATAGAGGAAGTATTAGATGTCTATAAAGAAGTAATTTCCTTCTACTGATGATTTATGTCTGTCTGTACGATGCTTTAAACTTAAGTAAGATTAGTTTTGTCTAATTCTATTGTATTTGTACTACTTGATCATCATATTTTGTACTTGTAATATGATATGATATGATATGCTTCCCAGTTTTGGGCTGAATTTGGACAGTTTGCTTTTCATTGAAATTTATGCAAATAGTTAGTGGGGCTCTAAACCTTTGCTATTTTAGGTTATCAACCAAGGAAATTTGCTATACATTCAAGCCCTTGGATTTATTTTTAGTCTCAAATTTTAATCGGGTCGGGTCGGGTCTGGACGGGCCGTCCCCGGAACAACTAGACAGAAGGGTGTGAATAAGTCAAAGCAGACAGTCAACGCGGTTTTGGCAAATAAAGAAAGACGCATTTGTGATTTTGCGTTCATTCAATCGTGCGCCTCCACGCTTATTTCAGTTAATGCACTTAATTTACCATTTTGCCCCTGCTCTTTAGAACCTTTCAAACTGTGTCCATTTGCCCACATGCACTGCCCCTACATTCTAATATTATTATTTTATTATGATATCCTCTTTCTATCACATTTCTTTTAATAATTTATTAGCGTTAGAATGTTTACTTTTAATAAATTTTTCACTTTTTATTTAAAATAATTTTTAAAATCATAATTACCAAAAAAAAAATAAAATAAAAATTATACAAATATAAAAATATAATAATTTTAAAATATATTAATTTTTTTTTAAAAAAAATATTATTCTCTATGTTTCATCTTAATTGAAATTTCTTTTATATCTAGTAACAATTGATATATTTTTATTTTAAATAAAATTTATCAAATTAAGTATATATATGTAATAAAAATAAATCAATTTAACTGTATTTTTATTTCTATTTTTATGTCTCTCTTAAAAAATCAAATAATTTTATCTATACATATAATTCATCTCTTTTATAAAATTAATTTATATTAATTACGAATAAATATATTTGTTAGTTATTTGTATTATAAAATTTTATTCTTTACAAAATAATATTAATATAATATTTTTTTGCAATATAATTTTTAATATATTAAATATATATTTTATTTTTTAATTATATATACTATATTTATTTTAAAATTATCAATATAATTAATTACATAAAAAATAAAAATAATATTAAATTTATTATTATTAACTAATTAAATATTATTATTTTATATAATTTATCGGTAATAAAAAATATCAATCTGAGATATAAAGAGTATTTAATTTATTTTTATTTAAAAAAAAAAAGTGAAGAAAGTCGTCGTCATCAGCACTATGACAAATAATAATAATAATAATGATAAATAATAAATAATGAAATAAGGTGTCTTCCAAAACATGACAAAGCTAAAAAATTATATCCAAAAAAATACCACAGACAGACACACGAAAAGGAAGGAATTAGTAGCAAGTGAAGAGCAGAGTAGAGCAGAGCTATCTCATCCTGGATTCTCATGTGTTGATTTGTTCTTAATTATTATTTAATCCGCGGATATATCCGACTGTTTCCATGTCATTCTCTGTTCTGGATCGTTGTTTGTATTGAACTCTCTCGCTCAGAATTATCAGTTCAAGGATGATGTCAATTGAGGGGATGATGGACAAGGGTGTGCTGGACGACATCATCCGCCGCCTCTTGGACGGCAAAGGAGGGAAGCAGGTGCAGCTCTCCGAGACCGAGATCCGCCAGCTCTGCGTCAACGCCCGCCAAATCTTCCTCTCCGAGCCAGCTCTCCTTCAGCTCCGCCCTCCCATAAGGATCTGCGGTATGTCGGTTATGTTCATAACTCTTCAAGCCTTTTACGCTCACGAATGAATGTTTTATGGTTGTTCAGGAAAAGTAGGGCTTATATGCTTGAGCAAATGCATTTTCTAATTCGGATTCTTCTTTGATAGAGGAAGTCATAGTTGATTGATTGACCTAGTTTTGTAGATTGATTGATTGATTGATTGATTCATTACGATTTAGGTTTTCCAGTTGTTCTTCAATTGAACAGAAGAGTTAATTGTGCATTTTGATTCACTCACTATAGGTATCTCTACGTGTGATTGGATTTGGATTTGTGGCTACGATGATCATTCTATTTGTATTCATTCATACAGCAATTTTGTGTTAAACAGAACTTCGTGCATTCGAATTCGGTAACGATTTTTTTTTTTAAGGAGATACTCATATCAGAGCTACAATGTCTCCTACAGGCGACATACACGGGCAGTACCAAGACTTGTTGAGGCTGTTCGAGTACGGTGGGTGTCCTCCATCGACAAGTTACCTATTTCTCGGAGATTATGTAGATAGAGGAAGGCAGAGTTTGGAAACGATATGCTTGCTATTGGCTTACAAGATAAGGTATCCGGATAAGATTTATCTTCTGCGTGGGAATCACGAAGATGCCAAAATCAACCGTATTTATGGATTTTACGACGAGTGTAAGAGGAGATTCAATGTTCGACTCTGGAAGATATTTACCGACTGCTTCAATTGCTTGCCTGTCTCTGCGCTGATCGACGAAAAGATTCTCTGCATGCATGGAGGGCTTTCCCCGGAGTTAAAAACTTTGGATCAGATAAAGGAGATTCCAAGGCCCACCGACGTTCCAGATAGTGGTCTCCTCTGTGATCTGCTTTGGTCCGATCCTGATCCTCGGGTACGGGGTTGGTCCGATAGTGATAGAGGAGTTTCATGCGTTTTTGGGCCCGATGCAGTTGCTGAATTCTTGGACAAAAATGAACTGGACCTCATTTGCCGGGGTCATCAGGTGCGCAATTTATCGTGTTCTTCTGCATGAGCAGATGGAAAATCAAAATTTTCTTTCACTATTCCTAGAAGATGGCTTGGATTTAAATATGCATTCTTGTTTTGTTACGATGATGATCTTGGACGAGCTTTATCTTCATCTTGTCACGAACATGTGCTGCATTTTTCAGGTGGTAGAGGACGGGTATGAGTTCTTTGCAAAGAGAAGGCTCGTCACGATATTTTCAGCTCCAAACTACGGAGGAGAGTTTGACAACGTTGGCGCTCTTTTGAGCGTGGATGAATCGCTAGTGTGTTCTTTCGAGATCCTAAAGCCTATTGCAAGCAGTTCAAAGGTTATTCTGAAGAAGGTACTATATGCATATATCTATCAATCTAACTAATGTTAATAATATGAGTCCTGAATTGTTGGTTGTTTACATGCACAAATTCGAATGCTCGACGACTAATTATTTATACGTCAACGACAGCCACCGAAACTGGGAGGTGCCTGATGACTGAGATACATGCCATATCGGAGAAATGGAAAGATGTGTTGATAGGTAAAAAGGAAAGGTGGTTGTAATTTAATTTAATTTAATCTGTACATTGGATTGGATGAATATTATATGGAAAGCTAAGCTAAGTTAAGTTAGCAGAACAATACATTATGTATTCTGTACAAGGAAAGCATTTGATTTGATCTGATCTGATCTTTGATGATGGATGGATGGATCTTTGTAGATTCTCATTCTGATTTAGGGAAGTTAGTTGTTGTCATTTTTCATTTCTAGTGAATGGCTGCCTGCCTATACTGCACAATTATTTATTACTAGCTATTTATTTTTATTTTTATTTTTGCTGTAAAGTCATGTCTCTGCAGGAAATCAATGCTTTGGGGAAGAAGAAGAAGAAGAAGATCAAAAGGGTTTCTGTGTACAACTTGCCATGATGCTTCAGGTATATTTTGTTTAATAATATAATCCCTTTTTTGCTCGTTTGACCGGGCATGAGTTTAAATAAAAGTGAATAATAATTATTAATTTGAATGATTTTTTACTTAAAAAAGAAATGAGAATATTTTCGACCACAAACCAAAAAGAAAAGTAAGCATAAATTTGAACGACAGAGGAAGTATATTTCAAAAATAGGAAGCTGATTTGATCATGTCAAAAGATGGCATATATTCTATGTTGTAGATAATACATGCAAAGTTTAAGGGTGTGTTTGTTTGAGGGTTAAGATTTTGAGTTAGTAAAAATTTTGAATTAGAATAATTGTATGATAGTGATATAAATAGGTGTAAAATTAATTTTTAGTATAATATAAAAAATAAAAAATAGGTATTTGATTTTGTATTTTTGGAAGGAAAAATTTGATGTATAGTAGAATCTTGAGAAAATCTCTCAAACAAACAATCCCTGCCTCCTAAAACATAACTATGGTTGCAGGTAAGAAATCTGAATCAAATCTCTAAAATAATGGGTTTGTTTCTTCAACAATTTATTTTTTTTTTTGCCAACACAATTTCAAATATATACTTTCTACTCCCAGGAGCTGTGTCCATATTGTTCATTTCACATTTAATGTCACTTTGGAAGATGATTGCACATTTAATCTCATGTTAAAACTTTTAATTTAATTTTTTTTAATTTTAATTAAATTAATTAGTTATTTTAATTTTAATTTATAATTATTTATATTATAAAAAAATTATTTTTATTAATATATTTTTAATTATCAACTAATTATATTTATCATAAATTTTCATATTACATTATGGTAATCTATACCTGCAATGTGAAACTGTATAATATATATATTCTTATCATTTTATAAAAAATTAATATTTAATATAAAATATTATTTTTTATAATCTTATTTGGTCGGAATTAATGTTTGTTTAGTGTGATTTTTTGTTTATTAAAAAAAAAAAGAAATTTATCATGTGAAGTTGAATATTGAATGTACATATTTATTTATAATTAATACAAATTGCTACTCAAATTATATTATTTTTAATTTCATAACTTAATTTAATATATATTTTATTTCGTTATTATTTTATCCATCTAATTATACATGTCAAAATTCTCAAACTTAAACAAAACAAATTTTATCTATCTAATCAATATACATAAAAAACTTAATTTTTCAAAATTACAAAAAAAAATTAAAATCCAAACCAAAGTCAAACTAAAATTTTCAAACTAATGCCAAAGAATCGCATATCGACTGTAGGTTGTGATATAAATACGTGTTGATGTGATATTTTGAATGTAAAATTGATTTTCAGTATAATATAAAAAATAAAAAATAGATTTTATATTTTTGAAAAAAACAATTGGATAAATAATGCATTTGAGGAAAATTTCCAAACAAACACACAATTGATAATATATTAGTAAGATATATATATATATATAACTAATACAGCAGCCCAACGGGCCCAGCCCACTTGATCCTTTCCTCGAAACCCTAGGCTTAGATTTAGTTTTCTCAATTTACAATCTCAACCATCGTTCTCATATCTCCGTATTTTCTCAATATCGCATAAGCCAGCACTGCTCCTCCCCTCCCTCGTTCGTGTTCCTTGGCAGTGCAGCGATAGCCGCCAGCCATGGCGCTCACGATGACAATGGAGGACATACGGGACTTTGCTTCGCGTTTGGATGTTGATGTAGCATCTATTGATCTCGATTCAATTCGTCTCCCTCCAGGCGAAGATTTTGGCATAATTAGGTAACCCATCGACATCGACGATTAGATTTCCACATGTTTGATGTTAGACCTATTGCTTGTTTTTTCATCTCTGTTGATAATTTACGTACAGCGATGACGAGGATTTGAAGGAGGGGGAGCCACTGGAGTTCGAGGAGGGTTTTGGAAATATAATTGTGGTGGACAATTTGCCAGTGGTGACAAAAGATAAGTTCGAGAAACTGGACGGAGTAATCAGGAAAATCTACAGTCAGATGGGTGTAATCAAGGAGAATGGTCTCTGGATGCCCGTCGCACCCGACACTGGGGAAACACTAGGCTATTGCTTCATCGAATACAACACCCCTCAGGTGACAACATGGTTAATTGTCTTCAAGTTCCTTAACTGCTGGTTTCTTACACTGGAAGATTTACTGCACATTGCTCTCTACCTTCTACCAATCTCTAGGTTTTGATTTCTCTGATGTAATTCTTACTGATCTGAGTGTTGTATCAACACGAGATCCCTGTTTAATTGGAATCTCGTTTAGATGTTCTTTTAGTGGTCTGAAGTTTGAAAGCATTTGGTCTCTTTATTGATGATGATTGTTATTATTGTACTAGCGGCTGCTGCAGCAGCAACCCTATAGGATGGTTATTTAATGCTACTTCCACTTTTGGATTCTGCATAGGAAGCTGAATTGGCTAAAGAAAAGACTCATGGGTACAAACTGGATCGAAAGCACAATTTTTCTGTTAATATGTTTGATGACATTGATAAGTTCATGAGAGTCCCAGAGGAGTGGGCACCTCCAGAAACCAAGCCTTACGCTCCAGGGGTTAGTTATCTTCCTCTCCTTTTTCTCATTTGCTCGTTAACAAGCACATGTCCGACTATATGGCATCCTAATCGGTGGGAGAGATTTCTGTCTCTCTTTCCAGAAAATTTATTGATTTGATCTCACTTTTTTTTTCCTTTTTACTAATGGCTTGGCTATACAGGAAAATCTGCAAAAGTGGCTCACTGATGAAAAAGCGAGGGATCAGTTTGTGATTCGTGCAGGTTCAGACACTGAGGTTATGTGGAATGATGCAAGGCATGCTAAGCCTGAGCTTGTTTATAAAAGATCTGTAAGTGGTTCTGTGCTGTGTGCGCATTTTAAAGGACTGTTTGTATAAGCATTGTTCGTTGCCATGTAAATTGACTCAAAATGATGCTAGATACGCCCTTGTGCTTTCTTTATGCCTGTTGCAGTCCTGGACAGAGAGTTTTGTGCAGTGGTCACCATTAGGAACGTACTTGGCTACAGTGCATAGGCAGGGTGCCGCCGTCTGGGGTGGAGCGACCACTTTCAACCGTCTGATGCGATGTGCTCATCCTCAGGTCATTAGAGTTTAGGGTTAGGACTTTATCTATTTTATGGCCTTGAGTATTAATGGTTTGGTTTGCAGGTGAAATTGATTGATTTCTCTCCTGGAGAGACATATCTGGTGACTTACAGCAGCCATGAACCCAGCAACCCTCGTGATACACATGTAAATATTCTTGATTAGTTCTTGAAATGCTGCACACCCCTACTTTGATCATGTCATAAAATAGAGTGTCTTCGCTCTTCACAGAGGGTTGTGATCAACATTTTTGATGTGAGAACTGGAAAAGTTATGCGAGATTTCAAGGGGAGTGCTGATGACTTTGCTATTGGAGGAACTGGTGGTGTTAGTGGAGTGTCTTGGCCTGTTTTCAGGTGATTAGTAAAAATCAGTTTGATATTGTTCCTATCCCCACTTGTTTATATGTGAGACGATTGACAACCCACTGGCACATTCTTTGGTGTTAGATCAGGGCTGTTTCTAATGTATCACATGTGTTCTTTTTACAGGTGGGGAGGTGGAAGAGAAGACAAGTACTTTGCTCGAATAGGGAAAAATACTGTTTCTGTTTATGAAACTGAAACATTTACCCTTATTGATAAGAAGTCCATCAAGGTTGAAAACGTTGTGGACTTCAGTTGGTCACCTACTGATCCCATTCTAGCACTGTATGCTCCTGAACTCGGTGGAGGAAATCAACCTGCTAGGGTGAACTCACAAATTCCTGCTTAACTACTTGATGCTTATGCTAAAATGGAAATTAATTATTCCCCTTACCTTTCTTGATGTTATTACCAGGTGAGTCTTGTGCAAATACCGAGCAAAAAAGAGTTGAGACAAAAGAATCTCTTCAGTGTTAGTGATTGTAAGATGTATTGGCAAAGCAATGGGGATTACCTGGCTGTTAAAGTAGATCGTTATACAAAAACCAAGAAGAGCACTTATACTGGCTTTGAGCTTTTCAGAATCAAAGAACGGGACATACCTATTGAGGTTCTGGAACTTGAAAATAAGAATGATAAGATCATTGCATTCGCTTGGGAGCCCAAAGGTCACAGATTTGCAGTGATCCATGGTGATAACCCAAAGCCTGATGTGAGCTTCTACTCAATGCGCAGTGGAACCCATACTGGTCGGGTTTCAAAGCTCGCTACTCTCAAGGGAAAGCAGGCAAATGCTCTTTTCTGGTCACCAGGTGGCCGCTTTATTATACTGGCTGGGTTAAAAGGTTTTAATGGGCAGTTAGAATTCTATAATGTTGATGAGCTTGAGACCATGGCACAAACCGAACATTTCATGGCGACAGATGTTGAGTGGGATCCAACTGGAAGGTATCACCCATAACACTAAGATTCTTATGGTTTTGGAATAACATTCTTGCTGTCATATGCAGTGGATTTTCTCATCTTTGACATGGTATTTTTGTCTGTATAGGTACGTTGTGACTGCAGTTACGTCCGTGCATGAGATGGAAAATGGATTCTGTGTCTGGTCATTCAATGGAAAACAGCTTTACAGGATACTCAAGGATCATTTCTTCCAAGTAAGACATTTGATTCTTCTGAGCAATCGACTCTGTTCTATTGAGTGATGGCTGACTATATTTTACATTGATATTCTTGTCCGTGACATACATTATGGTTGCTTCACTGCAGTTCTTGTGGCGGCCAAGGCCCCCATCCTTCTTGACCCCCGAGAAAGAAGAAGAGATTGCCAAAAACCTCAAGAAATACAGCAAGAAATACGAGGCAGAGGACCAGGATGTGTCTCTGCAGCTAAGCGAGCAGGATCGCGAGAAGAGGAGAATGCTGAAGGAAGAGTGGGATAGGTGGCTGAGCGAATGGAAACGGCTGCACGAAGAAGAGAAACTGGAGAGGCAGAAGCTGCGCGACGGAGAAGCCAGCGACGACGAAGAAGAAGAGTATGAGGCTAAAGAAGTGGAAATAGAGGAAGTATTGGATGTCTCTGAAGAGGTAATTTCCTTCGACTGATGATTTCTGTCTGTCTGTATGATGCTTTAAACTTAAAAGGAAGATTAGTTTTGTCTAATTGTATTGTATTTGTACTACCTAATCATCATATTTTGTACTTTTAGTATGATATGATATGATATGCTTCCCGTTTTGGGCTTAATTGGGCAGTTTGCCAATTTGTTGTTGCTTTTCATTACAATTTATTCAGTAGTTATTGGGACTCTGAACCTTTGCTATTTTAGGTTATCTATTAATTTATGGAAATTTGCTATACATTCAAGGTCTCTGGATTTATTTAGGTTTTGTTTGTTCAGTTTGGATTTTGATTTGGGATTTGAATTATAAAAATTTTGAATTTGAATAGCTGGATAATCCTATGTGTGTAAATTGATTTTTAGTATAATATAAAAAATAAAAAGTAAGTGTTTGATTTGATGTTTTGGAAAAAAAAATGCAATAAATAATGTATTTAAAATCGAATATGCAAACACACCCTTATAG